CTGCTCCAGCGCCTTAGTGCTCAGTCTCGGGATTTCTATCGACCTTTGATATCAAATCAAGAATCAGTTTTCTGTTGATGTTCTCAGCTAGTTTATGGATAAGTAAGATGGAGCGGCAAAATTCCAGAGCATGGCAGTTATTTTTTTTTCTCCGACATGGCGCATATAATACTCATTTTTTTTCTCGGTGATAAGTTGATCACAAGATGTTGAGACAGCTTCAAGCGCAAGGAATCTAAGCTTCTCATCAGGCCGCCCCTGCTTGGGCCCACTATGGTGACCTTTTTTTTGGAAAACCCATGTGCTCATTTCATGTCATTGCATGATATTGCATGTTGACCTATTGCCTGATATGTTTACGATATTTTCTAGCATCACCGCACAAGGCGGTCGCGGAAGCGTAAAAAATAGAAAACCTATAGGAGAGGTTAGTTGTTGTGAATCACGGATGGCAGAGCGAAGCACTGATGCCCCGACAGGTGGTGATACTTGGAGTTGTGTTGTCTGCTGCATGTAGTGTGGTGTAGCGCAGTTGTAGTTGTAATTGCATTTGTAGCTGTAGCTGCAGTGTCGTGGAGTTGTCGCTGAGATGTAGTATAATTTGTGTATTCGCAGGAGTAATTGCAGTTGGAGTCGTCTTGTGGTGTAATAGAGTAGCGTAATGCAGCGTAATGTCGTGTATTGTTGTGTCGTATAGTGTGGTATAGTGTTTCGTAGTCTACTGTAACGTCGTGTAGTGTTGTGTTGTGTGATGCAGTGGTAGTTGTAGTTGCATCTGCAGCTGCTGCTGTAGTGTAATGCAATGTAATCTATGTAGCGTAGTGTTGTGTAATGTAGTTGTGTTTGTAGTTGTAGTGTGCTGCAGTGTACTTGTTGTTGTGTAGTCAAGTGCAGTTGTAACTGTAGTTGTAGTTGTGCTAGTAGCTGTTGTTGCAGTTGTAAGTGTAATTGGTGTAGGGTAGTGTAATTAGGTGCTACGTAGTGTATTGTCGGGAAAGTAGTGTACTGTAATGTAGGGTAGTATATTTGTAGTTGATGTTGATTGAAATTGGTCTAGAGCCGTGGTAGTTGTACAAGTTGTAGTTGTAAATCTCTATAGAACTATCTACCTATCAATGTGTTTATCTATGTGTCTTTCTTATTGTATCTATCTATCTATCTATCTTTCTTTCTTTCTTTCTTTTTCTCCATCTTTCTTACCTTATCTTATCTTATGTTATCTTATCTATTTCTGTTTCTCTCTCTTTATTTCTCTTTCGGTCTGGCTATTTATCTGTGTATCTGCAAGCCGGAAAACGAAGCTATGCTGCGAGACTTCCACAGTTTTTTAACTTGAAAACATCAAAACCGCAGCAATTAAGCGAAACTGTGTCTATTCGTGAACTTGACGGATGCCGTAGGGTGGTCCGAACTCCTCTATTTTTTTTGCACTTTCGACTTCGAAATGTCCTCCGCTTCCTTGGAAGAATATTTTTTGATTCTATGTGAATATACTAAAACCAAAATTATCCTGGGACGCGCCCAGATCCTTGCTTCGAAAGGTTTCGATCCCTCTTACCCCCTTGTAACTACCAAGTAGCCGGCACTTGGCACCACGACCAAAACAAAATAAAATGACGCGCAGATTTTGAAATTGGACTCCTTTTTGTTGGAGATGTGCTTTTGTCGACAAGGCGCAACCACGCTGCATCAAACCAAGCACCTTCCAGTGCGTGTCATCCGGGAGCGTTCGCTTGCACCATCGAAAGCACTCCTGATTGTTTTTGAAAATTTACTGAGGTTTTGCGAAGGTCGTCTCAGCATGTTGTTCTTTCAAGTGAAATCATGCTGGTCGAAAAGAATTGACATGTGTAATCAAGACTTTTGGGGGCCCTGGGCTTCCAGTTCTCAGACTAGAAAACAACTTTCGGGCTATATGGTATTTGGTCTATAATTTGCAAGGACTGAAGAGACATCACTCCATTTCAAGAATTGCATTGCTTGATCGAAGAGAATGGCTTGCTGCCAGGAAGGTACACGAAGCCGAGGAGCTTGTATGGGATGGAGGTCTTGAAATTCAGTTTGAAACTCACCTTGTCTTCGTCAGCCTTAGCTATATGATCATAGTTAGGCTGAGGGTGAGCAGGGAAACACGATCGTCCTCGAACGATCTGGATTCACTCGCCCACGGCAGAAGGTGTTTCGAAAAGCTACGGTTGGTGCTGCTCAATTCTTAGTCAAATTTCGTGAGGCCTACAGAATGTGCATTCCAATGTGGTGGTGCAACCGACCTGAAAAGTTCTGGAAATATCCTGGAATGTCAAAAAATGCAATCGCTTACAAAGCGTCTTGGAAGTGGCTTCAAGTAGATGTTACAACGTAGCATCCAGAGCGTCTTGGTTCTGAAACCTACAATGAAATGGACTCCCAGCCGACACGGACTGAAAACACATAAACTTGGGAAGCAATGCCAACCATCAAGACAAATCTATATGAATCCATGTCCCACAGATCCTTTTCG